GCTGATATAAGCCTGCTGATCTCCTCTGCTGCAGAGACAGACTCTGCTGTGTACTACTGTGCTGTGAGGCCCACAGTGACAGGAAACACCAGAACTCTGTACAAGAACCTGCAATACTCCACACCATCCACTAGAGGGCCTCACACACTGTTCCTCCTCTATGGTTTGTTAGGATTCAGTCTGATTGTTTGTGCAGCTGAGAATAAAGCAGACATCAGAGTGTTTGCTGCATCATTGAACTCTTTATGATGAGAAGGTTTGGATCATAAAGGAGGGATGATGGAGGCTCCACACAGACAGAGTAATTTTCCATTATCAGTATATTTATTTCCATGTTGCTCATCCCTTTTTTTACTCTGTCCCCCTTCCTAATTAGAGTGAGATTGCAAATTCAAACAGATATTGTCATAGATATTGGGAAAAAAGTATTTTGGAAGTTCTGGTCTGATTCAGAGAGACAATATCTATCATGCTTTAGACAGAAATGCTGTAGTTTATAGGAATCTGGATCAACATATTATTCCTTAAAAACTCTCATAGCCCAGGGTCCAGCTCAGAGGTCTGTTTTAGGAAGCAAGTTTGATGAAATCTTGAAGTTTGTTGAGCATAAAATTTATTGAAACTCCAAGTTTTTCTTGTCAGTAAGTTTCCTCAGCCTCTGTTTCTGTTACCGTAGTGACATTGTCCCTGGAACTAACCTGGTCAGGATCAGGTTTTTCTCTATAAACTTAGTGTCCTCTGTCTCTTCCCTCCTTAAAGCCAATCACACTATTTCCTTTCTTCATTCAGTAAAGAGAGTTCTGTGCAAACCATAATAGTAAAACAAATCCGTAATTAGGTCTGTTAGACACATTAGGGGTTAAAAAAACACAATTATGTCATGAGAGGGATGTCAGACCACATGTAGAAGACATAAATGGAAATGTGGTGCATGGTGAGGGTGGTTATGAATGCGTGTTGTGGAGGTGGAGACTCCAAATGAGGGGGTGTGGACCACAGAACTAAGTGTATAGGTGTGCATTCACCTGTCTCATTGATGGGTGGGTGGGGCTGCCATCATTTAGCTTGACCGTTTTAATTCACTACGCTTCATTTCATTCTGTTTTTCAGTATTCATTCACTTTCAACATCTTAATCAACTGATCTCAAACCGTTTGCTATATTCATCCCTGCTGTGCAGCCATAACTTGTGCTGGTGCTAATAAACCAAACAAAAAGCATTCTGGATGTCAGCGTATCAAATCAAATACTCACAAATAGGGCAACAAACGAGCGCCCGACCCAACACTCAGTATCCAAAAAGATCCGGTTGCAAGCCACAATACAGCATATAGGTGTCCTTTCATACTCACAAAGTCATTTTATGAGTGTCATAATGAGTTTTGGTTCCTAGCCCATATGCAGAACATAACCAGAGGCAGGGAAAAAGTTCAAAGGTTTATTGTTGAACACAGTCCAGAGAATAAACAGATCCAGGGTTTTCAGGTTCGGGACTGGTCTCGACAGGGTTCACAGTACTGGAGTTTTGAGCTGAGTGGCAAAGGGGGAAAACCAGGGGGTCCAGAGGCTGATGGCAGGCTGAGTGCTTGGTGGAGGCTGAGTTTGGTTAGAGCTTGTAGATCACCTGGTTTCAGCTTCAGTTTCCCTTCCAGATTCTTCTGGGGGCAGGCTGGCAGATCCTCGACAGGTTTTGTTCTCCAGGGTTCTACTGAGATCAGACAGACCGATTTCCAACAGAGAAACTCTTCAGGGCATTTCTAATTTCAGGCAGGTTCAACCTGGGAAGCAGAGAAAACAAAATGGATCAGGTTCAGGTTTCGTAGTCAGGAGACTAGACAGGCAGGTTGGCTCAGGGTTTACTGACTAACACTCTGGCGCCGGAGTGTGGTCCTCAGCCCACTTAAATACTGGTCTCCTGATGAGCAGATGAAGAACAGCTGGTGAAGTCAGCTCCAGCTTCAGGAGATCCAATACGCCCTCTGGTGGAGAAAAGATAGACAGAACCCCAGATCCAAACAGTAACACAAACCCCTAGGAAGGGATCCTCGGCGCCCTCTGGTGGGCAAGCCTCAGGATCCCAACAATGAGGGCAGCCATTTAACTTTATAGTCACATAGAAACATGTCATTTTCAATTAAATTGGATTCAATTTACATATCATCACATCACAACAGAAGAGACAATTCAACAAGATCATCCAGTAAGATTGATTCAATGTTTTCTATCTAAGGAAAACCAGCTGATTGTATCGACTTATTGACTCTTCAGCAATCCCTCACACTAAGCATGCTCACATTTCCGTTTCCTGCCTCACATTTGCAGCTTTACTCATCAGTCATGCACCCATATTAGGGTGACTAGATGTCCCACATTTAGCATGTTTTAATGCATGTCTGTCTAATTTCACGCATCAGGAAAAATAAGACTGCTGCATTTGCTGACCGCCATGGAGGAGTCAGACGGTAAATAGGGTGGGCAATTGCTAGCCTTAACAAAGTCCTCGCCACCCCAGAGGGTACCCTGCTGGAAATGCAAAAAACAATCTGAGTTTTATTTAATCTAATTTATTTAATTTAGATTTATTTCAATAATGACAAGTATGTTTCATAAGCTTATATTGCAAACTACATTTTAGCAAATGCTAATTCTCGATGTGAATCTCTAGATGGTTCTTTACAATAAAACAAAATATACAATAAAACACACAATAAAAGGCACAATATGCAAAATCAACAGATAATGATCTCATGTCTGACCTCTGCATTATTTCAAATATAAGTATTGAGTTTATGTTTAAAAAGCACCAGTGACGGCTAGTGGAGTTCTCTTCAGGGCGGGGCTATAAATTCAAAATAGACGTTTACCAAAAACCAATCAAACCTACACTAAGTTGTCACACCACTATATTTATATGTATGCCAACAACAAAAAACATTAAAAAAAACTTTATAAAAACAAAACATAATTTCATGTCCAGGTTCACTTATTGTCCATAAATGTTGCCCTTCTGAGGCTGTGAAGTCACCAACCTAAAAATACAATATGCCAGTTTAATAATTGAGAAGCTATTTGTCAGCTTTATATTTTTTAATATATCAAAAACTATTTATTTTCTGAGAATGTGTTTAAGAGTTTTTTTTGGTTGCAAATTAACAAACATCTAGAAAAATTACACTATATTCTGTTATTTTCCATGTGAACCCAGATTGTTCATTCTTCTTTGCCTTTTCTTCAAAGTGTTTTAAATCAGTCCTGGCTGTCAGAGAGGTGTTTGAAGTCTGTCTATCCAGACTGTGTCCATGTCAAATCACTCTCCTCACTTTTAAAAAGAATGTCAGGAAAACAAAAAGGAGCATTAGGTGTCCCACAGGCTGCCAGCCACGACTTACGCTAGAACCAACTCCTGCTAAAATTCCGGTTCTAGGATTTAGTTATTTGCTCGGTTCGCTGCGTTAAATGTAAAGGTCCCAGCTCCTTTACATGGATTTTTTCCACCATCGAGCTTCTGGGTAACTCAGTAAAGATCTCACTGAATTGTGTGAAAGCTACTCTTCAAGTTCAATTGTTGTCGCCGCCATAATGTCTACCTCACTGCCTGACTGACCACTAGCTACATCACCTATATCACTTCAGCAAGGGGGAAATTTCCAGGAGCCCCAAAGCACTAATTTTGGTGATGCCAGTGGTGTCAACTGTACACACATTTGTTTCTTAAGTAGAAGTATAGATACTGCAGTTTAAAAACACTCTGGTAAAAGTCCAAGTATAAACTTGACCTCTTTACTTAAGTTAAAGTGAAAAAGTGAAAGTGAAAAAGTGAAAAAGTATGAGCTCCAAATACTACTTAAAGTTTAAAAGTATAAAGTAACCTTTAAAATAAACAGTCAGATAACACTATATGAATTGAAAGCTCAGTTTTTTGACTATTTTGAAAAATTATTTGAGATAGGGCCAAGGATGAGGGAGGTCTTGTTGGTCTCCATCTCCCGATACGCTCTCGCCTGTGTATGACAGAGATGGGACCTTCACTCCACCGAACCAAAACACTAACATCATCTTTCCCTCCTCCTTTCCATCTGATGCTTAATAAGTGCTCTTCTTGGATGAACTGACAACAGCCATGTCTCCCTCCGCCTAGCTGGGCGGAGGGGAGACATGGCTGTTGTTGGGCTCGCTGTCTGAATGACGGCGCGCACTGATACGAACAGAGAGAAAATAGGACCAATTGATAACGACGTGTGACTTTTTCCACTACAATGTTTTTGGGATGCAAATACAACAACCAACAGAGCAAGTGATAAAATAAACCTTACCAAGTCTGTCCTGATGGTTTTAGTTGTTTCCTTCTGTATGAAATAAAACAGGGAGTGATTACAGAGGCATCACTGTTGCACTTCCTGAGAAAAAAACTTTCCTGGTTTTCACACTGGAAAAAAATTAAAAAATTAGAGTTATTTTTTCTTAAAATAAGCACATTTGTTCTTGAATTTAGAAGGTGAAAGAGACATTTTGCCAATGGAACAAGACAATTTACATTTAAAATAAGAAAACACAATTGCATAGTCTTATTTCAAGTGCATTTTATCTAAATATATTTTTTTGTGAAATCAATAGTTATCAATAGTAGTCAATAGTAAAAATACTCATTATATTGGCAAATCATCTCACCTACTCCAATTAAGGGTAAATACACTTAATTTAGGATTTTTTTTTTACTTATTTTTTTCTTTTTTCAGTGCAAAGATCATGTAGTAGTTGCCCAGAGTTTGCTCTTACTACGCAGATTTATTCCTATTCTCAGATATTTTAATTTAAACATTTTGAATGTTCTGATTTCTAAAATTTATTACATGGCAGAAGTGCAATGATGGAAAACTACAAAGCAATCTCTAGGACTATCATACAGAATATATTATTCCGGTCCAGCGCCATTCATTTATTTCTTTATATATCTGTGAAGAACATACATTTATTTCCTCCCTTTTATTTTTTTAGATCTAAGCAGAAGAAGCTGTGAGTCTGTTCAGCAGGAGGAAGAGGAGCTGAGAGCTTCAGGGAGGAGCTGAGCTGTTACTGAACTATAGAAGAGACACAAACTTCCACATTCAACACAGTTCAAACATTAACTCTGATCATCATGCTGTCGTTGCTCACATCTGGATTTACTCTGCTGGTTCTGCTTATAGGAACAGGTTAGTTGGAGTCTTTCAGAGAACTATTCGATCCCTGATGTTCTTTATTTATTTATTTTTCCTCCTTCAGGTGTAAACTGTCAGCAACTCACTGCAGCAAAGACGGAAGAGTTCACTTTAGAGGGCGGCTCTGTTACTCTGTCCTGCAGTTACACCAAAGGTTCTGTAGATGTTTTGTTCTGGTATCGACAATATCCTGGAAACCCTCCAGAGTTCCTGAAGTCTCATTCACCATTTGGTGATGCAGAATATCTGGGCAGACTGAAATTTGAAGGAAACAAGGAAGAAATGAATATGACCATCTCCTCTGCTGCAATGGCAGACTCTGCTGTGTACTACTGTGCTGTGAGGCCCACAGTGACAGGAAACACCAGAACTCTGTACAAGAACTTGAAATACTTAACTAAATCCACAAGAGGGCAGTGAAAAGCCTTATGCCTCTACCAATGGCTGAGACTTAGTATGATTGTTTATGTAAATATGATGTTGAAACATTAAGGTTGTTGTTCAGTCCTTCATTGAACTCTTTCAGACAAAAATTGACCGTAATAATTCAAACAAGGGTGTTTATTTAGTGTATTAATACAAAACAGCTGTGGAAGCTGTTTATAAAGATATGCGATTGTTTGTAATGGTCTAATAGAATATGGAAATATTTAAACAGGAAATGTTTAAGAAGGCTGATGAGAGTAAAACATCCCAGATGAACATCCTGATTAGAACAACAATAGACAAAATAAAGAGCTAAATACCTGAAGGAATCATTTGAATTCCAGTCATTTTATCTATATCACTGATTCCAAATAACAGTCATCTCAAGGAACTTTACAAAAAACTAACAGAACAAAAAAAAAACACAATATGTGTTTTCTGTTAAATTTTATCCAATAGATTATGAATATATTAAGTAACCAACACACACACACACACACACACACACACACACACACACACACACACACACACACACACACACACACACACACGCACACATTCAACAAGCAACTTCCTTCCCCTCAAACTCAAATGTGTATCTCTGTTAGCTTTATTCAATGATGATTATAAAATGAATGTGTGTTTATATGAAACATTGTAGAAATGAGATGCTTCACTCTGTCCCATGATTCAGTCAAGAGACCACCCTGCCTTGTGATTCAGTCGTGGAGCGTCCTGTCTTATGACCTGATCAACTGTCCTGTCAGAACAATACTCTGTTTGTAACCATGTGTCATGTTATGTTAATAAAACGCTCTGCAGAGGAGGTCTGGTGGGAGACAGTGTGTTTGAGTCTGGGGTTCAACTGTCTCTCCTTCTGCAGGAGCTGTATGAAAATCCCTTACTGTGTATTTCAGTTCTTCTTTTACAAACCTACATTTTTGAACCCAACAATCTCACAGCACTGAGACGACTCCATTTCTTTCAGTACATTTTGGACTCCAACTCAATCTGATGGCTCATTCACCTGTACTGTAAATGAAGTATATCATTCTTGCTTTTAACATGACATTCTAGATTTAGCAATACTACTCCTACAACTTTTAACATGTTATTTTTAGCCACACTTACCTCACAAGTTTAAAGTGTTGTGAATAATTCCAACAATGGCCAAATAATTCCAGCAATTGCCTAACATGCTGTGCCTGAGGAGGAGGAGGGACAGAGATGAAGACATCTAATTGTTTTTTTCCCCATTTAGATCAAATGGCAGGGATTGAGTTCTTCAAGGCTTTTAGCTCTCATATACATCTGATTGTTTTCCCTTTGTCTGAATACATAGAGTATTGATCACTCTCAGATCAGATGGACCATTTCACTCACAATAACAAAAAGTGTTTCTAAACAGGATTACCAGCAGTAATTATAACTAAAATCTATACTAACCAAGTTTCTTTAGTCTTTCACCCCAGGTTGGACCTCGGGACAGGCTGTTAAAATCCAGCGTCTGCCGCCAATATAGTAATTTAGTCTATGGCTATCAGTAAAGTTACTAATCACCAAGTGTATTGTCTCTGTTTTAACCAAAGGAGGGTGAATCTGGTCCTGAGTGATACATTTTCACCCTACAAATAACAACAAACTACTACAGGTTAAAATATCAATGTCTATTTCCTAATAATCTCTACAGTGTATCTAATATCTATGGAAACACTACACACTATTGAGAATAAACAAAAGTAAAATGGAAAGCTAATAAAAAGGGGGGAAAGTTTAAGAGTCTATTCAAAGAGTCTCCGAGGAATGTCCAAGTTTTAAGTTTGGGTGCATTAATGCATTTGGAGGTAACCTTTTAAAATAGCAGCAGGTATATGTGAACAAAACTGGTGAAGATATTTTAAATGCAATCAAAACCAATCAAAACCAGGCATTTAAAAGTAGCAGCATGGTAGAACAAAGAGTTAGCTCAGATAACATGATGAGACCCAGCTACGTGGAGAGGCCTGGACAAAGGATCCTAAAATGAGGTACCGTAGTCTAGCCAGCAATGTTAAGCCAGACATACACTGTTGCACGCAGCTACAGCTCAAACGGTACGACGAAACCATAGGGTTTAAAAGTTCACAGCTCACGATACATGTTCTCACACATTGATGCCGACACTCTGATGCGACCTCATGATGGCCGACTGAATTTTAAACATGTTTGATTTTCTCCGACCTTATGATTCCTGATGGGGAGGTGATCGTGAGAGGCTAATCGCCCTTGTTACCCCCTGTGCACTACATGATGCACAATCAGGCTGAAAGTCGGCCTATTGAAAAATTATCGCACAAAAGGGCAAAAAATCAAACATTGTATGCCCAGCTTTAGGGAGAACGATGGGTCGTAAAATTCACAAAATGGCTACCTCTATACCATGTGATCAAAATGAGGTAGCTGACAATGGATCATAAAACTCTATGCACATGTCATCAGGATGATGTGGCCTGTAGCTAATGATGCTAGCCAAATGAGAGAGCCAGAAGCCAACATTGCACACCGCTCAACCTTATCGCATTATCTTTAAGGGCAAAGAGGGAAAGAGAAAACCAACAGCCATCATATGCTCATTCACACACACACTACATGAAATCAGCATTCGGTTCTGGACCTTTTTGATATAAAACCACCAACTTTCAAGATCAACAGCTTCCAATAAAAAAACAACACAAAATGCATACAAAACTATCTATTCTACCTCTCGCCAAAGGAGCACCTTAAAGAATGTCAGATAAAGAGAAAATTTTTTTACTATCTGTTGATTCTGTTGATGAGGGGAGCGACCCGGATTTGATCCAATACGGTCCGGCCCAGGGGTCAGTCCCCAGTCCAACAGGCAGCTCTAAGAGAAACTTGAATCTGTCTGAAGCAAGAACAAAGGAACATTGATGACTGAAGGTGAAAGCAGTAGCTGATGTCAGCTCTATAGTAGCAGGTCCTTGCAGTAGGAAGTTGACCCTGTCTCAGAGGCTGCAGCTGAAGAGTTTGGTCGACCAAAGAGGAAAAACTCAGTGTTTCACAGCAGAAAAAATCACAATGGCGACACTGCATTCAGAATATTCTGAAATGCAGGCAGGAAGTATTTTGGATTTGTCCGTGAAACATAGGTGCTTCAATGGACAGAGCTTCAGGAGATGTTTTTCTCTCCATTACAGGCCAAAGCCTTGGGCCAAAGAGATGGTGGTGCTGTTTTTTAAAGAGGCATGACGTTGGAAGGTTTGGTCTTTATCACGTCAAAGTCATTTGATCCTCTTTTATGTGCTAGCTTATTTTTTAATTGTTTGGATTTTGTGCAGTTTTGAATCACTAAAGCCCAGATTTTTTAATTTAACTGCTGTGTTTCTTTTGCCTTACTGCTTTACACCTTACCAGATACAATACATTACTGACACAGGAGTCTTTAAATAACAGCTAAAAACAAATCGGTTCAGACAAGCCTTTTACTTCTAGCTGTTCGACATTTTCTTTTAGTTTATATTGTGGTTTTATTTTTAGTATATAGCTCTTTAAACTATTCAGGAATTGTGCTACTATGACTTTGTTTATATTTTATATTTTTATATTATATTTTCATTGTTTATTTCTTGCCTTTACATTTTATCATTTGATATATGATTTGATTAAATGTATAGAAATCTCCTCTGTCCCCTGACATCATCTTTTATACCAATTTCCATTCATTCAATGATCTCGACTCAGATCTATTCTTACATATCTGGTTTTATAACAAATTTGATTATGGATCAAGGAGATCCACTTGACTGCATCGAGTCATTGGCTTGCAGGACAAGCTCCTCCTGGATGATTTTTGCTTCCATTTTGTAATTTACTCTTCAACAATCCCTCTAAGAGCATCCATCCAGCAACAATGGAGATAAAGTGTGAACATTAGGTCACCAATGAGCCATGATTTCTACTTTTAGAAATTCTAGGAACCACTAATAAATCTTCAGAACAAAGTGGTCTGTTAGGAAGATAATCATTTTATATTCTATTTGGGACTTAATAGGAAGCCAGTGAAGAGAATCTAATAGGAGAAACATCCATCCATCCATTTTCTGGCACGCTTAATCCCTGCTGGGGTCGCGAGGGATGCTGGTGCCTATGTCTACCAGTCTATGGGCAAGAGGCGGGGTTCACCCTGGACAGGTCTCCAGTCCATCGCAGGGCAACACAGAGACAAACAACCATTCACAAACACTCACACCTAAGGAGAAATTTATAGAAGCCAATAAATCTAACAGTCATGTTTTTGGACTGTGGGAGGAAACCAGAGTACCCGGAGAGAACCCATGGATGCTCAGGGAGAACATGCAAACCCCATGCAGAAAGTAGGAGGAATATGATCTCTCTTTTTATTTTTCATCAGAATTCTGGTCAAGATCAATTTAATTCCACCCAGATGGAGGGACTGACTTGAGGGTCTTCTTTTTCAAAGACAATGACCTGTGTTTTATCTGTATTCAAAAGCATTCTGAAATTCATGTTAAAGTGGACCATGACACTATTGCATTAAAGCAGATTCATAGAAAATATAACAGAGTTATCTCTAATGTTTAACTCATACAGTATATATCATAAATTTAGAATGTTGTCCAAATATGAGTGTAAAGAATTCAAAATGCACAAAGACAGCTTTTATGTATTGTAAAAGCAGCAATTTACCAAGGACATATCCCTGGAGAAGACCACACATCAAAAGAGGTTTCAATCAGGACTACAGGACCATTGAATAAAAAAAAACAACTTGTAGCTGCCAACAACAAAAGCTGAGAGGAAGAGGAGCTGAGAGGAAGAGGAGCTGAGAGGAAGAGGAGCTGAGAGCTTCAGGGAGGAGCTGAGCTGTTACTGAACTGTAGAAGAGACACAAACTTCCACATTCAACACAGTTCAACATAATCTTACCTCTTTTCAATATGTTGTTGGTGCAACAATTTGGATTTATTCAGCTGGTCCTGCTCTTTGGAACAGGTTTGTTGTAATCCTAGAGAGAAAAATATATATATTGTTTTGTATCCTTGAGTTATTTGAGGCTTTTTTTCCTTTCAGATATAAACTGTCAACAGCTCACTGCACTGAAGACTGAGGAGTTCACTTTAGAGGGCAGCTCAGTAACTGTGTCCTGCACTTTCAGCAAAGGTTCCACTAATTATTTATACTGGTATCGACAATATCCTGGAAAACCTCCAGAGTTCCTGAAGTCTCACACACCCTTTGGTGAAGCAGAACAGCTGGGCAGAATGAAATATGAAGCAAGTGAAGACAAAATGAGCATGACCATCTCCTCTGCTGCAGTGAAAGACTCTGCTGTGCACTACTGTGCTGTGAAGCCCACAGTGACAGGAAACACCAGAACTCTGTACAAGAACCTGCAATACTCCACAACATCCACTAGAGGAGGCTAGAGGCATGGGCTGCTTTTAGTTGAACTTCTAACTTTATATTCTCTCAGCTTTTTCTTGCCATAGTTGCTACGTACATCGGGCCTGATGCTCTGTTTCCTTTATAGATGATAGAGTGTGATCTTTTTTTTTTGCTGTTTCTGTCTTGAACATAGATATGGGCTCAATTTTTCTGTGACCAGGTGTAGGTGCACTGTTTTATTCCTTTTGACATAAGAACTGGCTTAGAGCTAGTTAAATGGTACCTTTTTTTTTTACATGAAAAAACAGAAAGTATTAGAAGATCAGTGCTTTTTTGTTCCTCTGGTGTGCCCATTTCTGTCTTCTTGAACCTCCAGTCAGCATCAGTAGAAAGGTATTCACACCAAGCCTGGTTCTGTTGCAGTGGAGCCAGTCCACTGTAGCAATGTCTTCAGAGACATGCAGCTCGTTCAGACCCTTCAGTGTTTAGATCTGCCTTGATAGCTGACCTTAACTGTTCATTTCACTCATCTACCTAGCTCTGCCCAGTCTCTGATTCTCACTCATCTCATTCACCTGTGTCTGTTCCTTTATAATTGGCTTGGCACAGCTATCAAGGCTAGATCAATGTTTCTCTTACACCTGTCTGTTTCGTTAGTTTTAGTTAGTTCCAAGGTTTGTGTCCTGGTTCCTGGTGGCCAGTGGATTGACAGGGTTTTTTGTGTTTGTCCTGTCTTCTGATCGTGCCATGGTCCTGTGGCAATAAGAATAATTGTCTTGATGCCAAAAGGAGACCAACAGATTTTACTTTCTCAAGTGCCACAGTATGGCTATCACCATAGTGATACTATTGCTGAAGTATAAGTAGTATTATTTAATCTGACATGGATACTGTGGTACCTGAACAACAGAATATGGGCTTTCTATATGGAAGTGAATCTCTGAGTACCTGGAACCAAGCACCTGTAGTTGTTGTGAGAGTGCACTTGTGTATGTAAAGTTTATCCAGGGGAAAATGCTCAATAGTGGTTGTGAAGAGCCAGGCCAGGCCCCGCAGAGCAACCGCCAGGAATAAGCCAGTATCCGTCCAGACATCCACCCCCAAACACCGAGCACCGGCGAGCCCAGGCACCAGGGAGGGAAAGAACGGGGGGACCGGCATGGACTCCTGGATTTCAGAACTGTTCCTCTCTGATATGAATACCTGTCCTGGATCGGATTCCTGCTCGCTGCCTGTGGTTGCTCCATCTGGGACACTCTGAGTGGCTCAGGGCCTCATCTCTTTGCAGTGCATCGGCTGATCCTGCCTATAATTGAGAGGATGGACTGAACGGTTAAACCAGGCAAGTGACTCACTTTGATACTCATCTGTCAGATGACTGTGGTCACTTACCTGTGTTTCTCCCTCCAGAGAATCAGTGATTAGGCGGTGTACCGTCCCCCTCCTGCAGCTGCTGCAGCCAGCAGTTCCACAGCTCTGCGCTTCTGTTCTGTCTGTTTTGTTATAATAAACGTTTTGAACTTACCTAATGACTGCCTCACCTCGAATTCGGACACACTGAGCATAAGAAATCAGTTAGAACTTTTAAAACATTAGCAGTTTATTTCAAATTAGAAATATAATTCCAAATCAAACCCAAACAACACTATCTATTCTACCTAGTTCACCTAAGCAGAGCACTTATTAAGCATCAGATTGAAAGGGGAAACGATGGATGTTCCTGTTTGGCTCAGTGGGATGGAACGCCTTCGCTTTGGTTTGGTTTTCTGCTGGTCCCTTCTTCAGTCCGTTGGTCCAACAGCAGCTCTCAAAGAGATTTGGATCAGTCCCATGCAATAATAAGAGGCTACTTTGTAGGAAGGTTAATTTTATAACTCATGGTAGCCTGGGGCATGTCCTGTTAGCTATGCCGATACCTTTTAGCCAGGGCCCTCATGTAGCAGCTCAGTGGGGCTGCTCTCAATCTGTCTCTGTGTCAGGCAGGACAAGTCGAGGGCCAAAATAGTGACACACACCATGGGCTGGAAGAGCATTTTTATCTGAATAAAAATCAGGAAATCACGTTTTTTTATGATCTAAATTTGTTTTCTCAAACATGTAACTTTAAGCATTATTAAACTTAACGTTAAATTCTAGACCACACTGTGTTCATAAGGAATATATGACTGTCTGAATAATATCTGATTATAAAAGATATTTGTCACCCATACCAAGGAGGGAAATAAACATCTTAAAGCATCCTACAACTTTTAGATTCACCCTTCGTCCAGCACATCTGATTCAGGTTTGTCTTTTATTTCCGCAGTATTAATTAAGTTCCTCCAGAGTCATCTCAATTATTTAATTACTTGATACGGTTGTGTTGAACCAAAGGCACATCTACAAGTTTCAGGAACTGAAATTACCCACCCCTGCAGTAGGCGGAGCTCTCCTTGTGCTCTGTGTTCCAGCATTGTGTCAATAATAAGTGTTGCTGTGAAGAGAACAATAGTCAGACTGAATGTTGAACATCAGCTAGTTTCTCCTGCTGATTTAAACCTTGTTGGACAGATGGAACATTGGCTGTGGATTATTCTAGCTGCTCTTTTCTTTGGTAAGATAGAAAGCTCAACATGTTTCCTCTTCAAACACTTGAACACATTACTGAGCTCTACATGAAGAGCTTTAATGTTCATTCTACAGAAAATCAGAGCAGATCATTTCTGCTGCCATTTGTTACCTTGTAGAAACACCTGATATGGTTCAAAGTGACAATGATCAGAGAAAATGACATCTATTCTACATGGAATAGAAGTCTTTAAAGCTGCTGATTGTTCTCCTTTAATCAATCATCTTTATTGATTCATCTCTTCCTCTGCATGTTCTGTTCTTCCTCAGAGTGTAAAGGAGACTCAGTGAAGCAGACAGAAGGACATGTTGTTGCTGCTCAAGGAGAATCTGTGACTCTGGGGTGTAATTATACGACGAGGTATACAGGTTATAGATTGTTCTGGTATAAACAAGAAAAAAACAGCTACCCAAAGTACATTCTGATAGGATTCTCTTCAGGAGGAGAAAAAGCTCCGGATTTCAAAGACAGATTCAACGCTAACATCGGCAGTAACAAGAATACATTTAATCTGACGATCCAGGATCTCCGTCTGTCAGACTCTGCTGTGTACTACTGTGCTCTGCAGCCCACAGTGACAGGAAACACCAGAACTCTGTACAAGAACCTGCAGACAAAAGACAATACAATACTGCACCACAACCACTAGAGGGCCTCATTCACTGTTCTTTCTCTATGGTTTGTCAGAATTTAGTCTTTATTTATAGAGATTAAAACTACAGCAACAATAATAACCACAGCATTTGTTTTCATCATTAAAGAAAAAATCTGGTCAGCAACGAATAATCAATGGATCATTATTTATACCTAAAACTAATAAGTTTGCAGTGATTTAATGAATTTAGCATTAATCAGTAAAAAAATAAAAAATTATAATTGTCCGAGTCTGGGAGCGGCCATTTTCACCCAAATATAGTAACCCCTCGCTCCTGCCATCTTCCAGCAGTGACGTCACGGTGCGGTTAGCCTAGCGCCATTCTCCCCGCTTTCCAAGATAAATCAATGGGAACTACTAGACACATCTGCAATCAACAACAATTATTGAAGATTTCCAGAGGACTTCACCATTGAAATTCACCAGAGCTATAGTGAAACTGACAATGCCCACGTGCATGGCAGCTGGATGCTGGAATACATCGGTTAAAAGTGCTGATGAAGGTTCTCAGTCATCCAGGTCATAGTCATTCCGTAAAAATTCAAAAAATCCACTGGACTTGGTCCCTTATGTTGCTGGAGTGTCTGGAGTGTCTGAAAAGCTCAAGAGGATTTTCTCCAAACACAAGATCCCAGTACATTTCAAGCCAAACCAAACCCTTAAACAGAGGCTAGTGCACCCTAAAGATAAAACCCCCAGACCAAATATGAGCGGAGTGGTATATGCTGTTCAGTGCAGCGAGGAATGCTCTGATCTTTATATTGGCGAAACAAAACAACCTCTCCACAGACGCATGGCCCAACACAGAAGAGTGGCCGCCTCTGGACAAGACTCCGCAGTACACCTACACCTTATGGACAAAGGACATTCTTTTGAGGACCAGAATGTCCATATTCTGGATAAAGAAAATAGGTGGTTTGAGAGGGGCGTGAAGGAAGCCATCTATGTTAAGAGAGAAAAACCAACTTTAAACAGAGGTGGTGGACTCAGATTCCAGCTTCCAAAAACATACAATTCAATCATGGACATGATCCCTTCCAGATATCACCAAACCCCCCACCCCATCACAGAGGAACGAGGGACCTACCCGCCCCAGCCGGTGAACAATACCTCCTTAACGACCAACCCTTAACAATCATAGACAGGTTTCAGGTATTACAGGAGACAATCCCCCCCTTAATGGCAATCCCCCCTTTAACGACCGACCCCTAGAATCATAGACAGGTTCAGATATTACAGGCTAACGATGGAACTAACGACCCATTCATCGGTTACCATTGCATGTTTCCAAGCGATACAAGGCGTTGTCTATATAAGACTCAAACTCACTGCGGATCCAGACATTTGAATTGAGAAAGCTTCCTGGAGAGGTGGCGAAACGTCTTCAAATCTTGAAAACCAAGTCCAGTGGATTTTTTGAATTTTTACGGAATCGGTTAAAAGTGGAAAAAAAAAGTTATTCCACCTTTCACACGTAATATGTAGCCAACATTTGGAAGAAGAATGTTTTCAAGATGACTTGGATAATAGCGCGTTGTGACAAACACCAGATACAGCACTGGGACTTGATCAACAGCCGATACCGCACCGTGACGTCACTAACCAGTAGGTGGCAGTAGTGTTCTTTGACAAACATGGATGCCTCCAGTAAAGCACATTCACATGAAAATTACTCTGAATTAAAAACACTGATCATTTATTGAATAGCATGTAAAAATTTCATTTTTAAATTACTTTCGGAAATTAGAATTCTGAATAAGAGCAGACTTTTACTTTAA